TGTTTTGGGCACTTATTTTTCTGTATCACTGAGTAGTGTTCCATTGTATGTATGTACATTTTACTTATCCATTCATCCGTTTCTGGGCACTTAGGTTGTTTCCATCCTTTTTCTACTGTGAATAGTGCTGTGATGAACACAGGTGTGCATATGTCTCTTCATGCAACTTCTATTAGACCCCTACGGTAAACATCTAGGAGTGGAACTGCTGGGTCATATGGCAGCTCTACTTCTAGTTTTTTGAGGAACTGTCAAGACGGTTTTCCACGACGGCTGTACCATTTTGCATTTCCACCAGCAATGGATGAGGGTCCCAATTTCTCCACATCCCCTTCAACACTTGTGATATATATATTTTTTATCCTCACCATCCTAACCTGTTGCCATCGGGTTGACCCCGACTCATAGTAACCCTATAGCACAGAGTAGAACTGTCCGTTAGGGTTTCCAAGGCTGTAATCTTTACTGAAGCAGACTGCCGTATCTTTCTTCCGAAGTGGTTTTTAACTGCTGACCTTTCGCGGTTAGCAGCTGAGAGCTTAACCAGCGCACCACCAGGGCTCCTTTTAGCCATCCTAGTGGTAGTGAAACGGTATTTCATTGTGGTTTTGATTTGCATTTTTCTGATGGCTGATGATGTTGAACATTTTTTAATGTATGTATCTGTTAACCATTTGAATATCCTTTTTGGTGAACTGTCTGTTCGTGTCTTCTGTCCAGTTTTTGACTGGGTTATTTGTTTTTTTGTCATTAAGTTGTAGAACTTTTCTATATATTTTAGGTATTAGACCCTTATCGGTTTTATTGTTCCCAAAGATTTTTTTTTTTTTTTTCCGGATTGTAGTCTGTTTACTCCTTTGATAAAAGTCTTCTGATGAACACGTATCTATACATACATATTTAACTTTTATGAGGTCCCAGTTATCTATTTTGTTTTCTGTTGCTCTTACATTTGTTGTTGTGTTGGACAATCTTTCGAATGTCCTTTGTAAGACTTTCTCTATGCCTTTTCTGGGTAGATTCCTAGATATGAGGCAGAAGAGCAGGCAGAAAGGCAGTATGAGATAGAAGTACACAGCATCAGACAGACCCGGTCTGAATTCTAGCTATTATCCATTGGGTTAGCCTGACCTCAGTTTCTTCATGTATAAAATGCTGATCAAATTACCTATTACATGGAGTTATGGTTATTACAAAGGGAGACAATGCATATAACCTCAACAGTGCCTTTGCTGGACACATGCCTTAGCGCTGCGCAAATTTTGGTCCCTCCCACTCTCCTTCAGGAGCGTAGGGACGGTAAAAGCGCCCAGGGGCAATCTATAAATTACGCCCCCTCCCCATAATTTCAAGATGAATAGACCTTGATAGCAGCCACCCCTCAGTAGACCCTCCTTCCCCCACTTCTCTAGCTGCCTCTGTCAGGCGCCTTTCATATTTGTGGCGCCTCAGAATGTCATTCGCGCCTCGTCGAGCCCCCTTGGACTTCCGCCCGGGGGCAAGTCTCCCTGTGCCGCCCTTACACCTCTGCCCTCATTGTTCAGAAATTGTGGTGCCCTCTCTGAGCTCCCCTAGACTTCCCCCCTATGAAATCTGCCACTATGTTAAATGAATCGAAAAGTTAATCCTTGGATATGCTGCAGTCTGTGGTATAGGAATTTCTGTCTCCCATATGTGTAGGCAAGTGGAGCATTATCAGTTTGCTATTTGACAGAGTTTTCTGGCAGGTGCACATAACTGAACATTCCTGAATCAGGAGGGGGCAGCTCTGGATTTCAGTAACCAGGCCACAGCCAGCAGCATCAATTTAAGCTCCTAATTTGCGGTCTCAAGTGAAACGAAACGCCCTAAAACGGCGAAGGCTCAAGCAAACAATACCCACCAACTAGTAGTCCAATTCCGTGTGCACGTGATGTAGAAAATATTGCAAGTCCAGGCACTTTTTCAGGTACTTTACTGGTGGGGTGGGGGGAGCGGGGGTTTGGAGCCCTGATGCCCTGGAGTCCGGACTGGACCCTGAAAGGAAGCTGGCTGGGCCAGTGCTGGGGACACAGAGGGCATCTTGCGTTTCTGGCTCCCTTGTAAAAGCGGCACATGTGCCATCCGGGCAGGCACTGGCGCGCCCCCCCTCGACCCTCTGGCCTTCCCGAGCGCAGGGACTCCGGGGCCCTCCGCCTCCCCCGCAGGCTCCGGCCCACGGGCCGCGCGGCCCAGGTAAGGCCGCCTGGCTGGCGCGTCCCCGCGTGCCCCTTCCCCCTCCGGCGACTTCCTGGTTTGCAGAAGGTGCAGGAGCCGCTGCGGGCGGCCGCGGTCGCAGGAACTGAGAGGCCCCAGCTTTGGCGGGGGCGGGGG